GGGCCGTGGGCAGCTCGGTGGGCTGGGCTGGGCCACGGCTCAGCGCCCGCGTGGATCCAGCCCTGGGGCCCGCAGGACGCTCGGCTGCCCCGCACGAGAGCCCGCGGCCGTCAGACTCTTTAAAAATTAACTCAGTGCAGCGCCGTCCCCGCCCGGGGCCGGGCTGTGCCCGCGCTCCGTCCCGAGCGGCCCCGGGCGGAGCCGGGCCCGGAACATCCCGGGCGGGCCGGGAGCGGCCCCGCGGGGCTGCCCCGGGGCGAGGCTGTGCCCAGGCAGCTCCGGGCCCCTTCCCGGGAGCAGAGAGCGCGGAAGGGCTCGAGGGTGAGGCAGCCGGGGACACCAGACATTAAAGGCAGCCATGGGTCCAGCACCGCGTCCGGAGTTGTTCTGAGTCCACGAGCCTCGGCAGGCAGGGCAGCGGCTGAGCCCAGGGCCAGGATGGAGCAGGGGCTCCTCTCCTTCCCAGCCAAGTTCTCCGCGGTTCGCCCCGCTCCGGCCAGAGCTCAGCCCAGCACAGCCCCTGCGGCAGCATCGGCCCCCCTGGGCCCTGGCACGTCCCTCCCTCCCCGGGCTGCTCTGCCCCGGGAGCCCCGAGCTGCCCCCTTCGCCTCCCTGCGGCCCGGGCAGTGCTCACACAGGCACACACAGGGTTAATTTAGATCCCTGAGGCCAGGCCGGGTGGGGAAGGGAATGTTCCAGTCCCAACTCTTGCACCCCAGTCCCTGCTCAGGGCTCCCAGGCACAGCAGGGCTGAACCTCTCTGCAGCCCCAGAGCAGCTCAGGAGGGCCTGGGCCCTGCAAACCCCTGCAGGTGCCCAGGATCCCCTCCCCTAGAACCCGAGGGGAACCAGGGAAGCGCCCTCTATGACCATTACAGTCCTTTGTGCTCCAGCTTCTCACCCCAGCCCAGGCCAGTGTGAGAGCCCAAGGAGCCACAGCACAAAAGGACCTAGTCTCCCTTTCCAGGAGAGGGCTTCAACAACACTAGACAAGCAAAGCTTCTAGATCAAATTATTCCCAATTTAAGTCAGAGCAAAGTCAGTATTCAGCTGACAGATGAAACCAGACTAAAGTAAAGCCATTGCAAGCAAGAAATACAGGTTTAATTGCACTTTATTTTCCAAGAAGTGAAATGCAAATCCCTCAGGGTGTCTATCTGTGACAGGGAACAAGAAGTGGAAGCTGTTAGTATGAGCAATGATTGCCCCTGGGACACCAGGGCGCTGACACTCAGAGCAGCACCAGCACCCCCAAAAATCCCGTTTCAAACACCGTCATATTGAGCACTGAGTGATGCCCAGGAAGGCCCAGGTCAAGTCACCCTGCATGGCACTAGGGTGGCTGGCACAGGCTTTGGTCTCTGCCCCAGTTTCATCTGCATTTGGCAATTTGTGGCAAGGGTGGGGCACAGGGACCAGCCACACCCCCCAACACCAACACCCAGTGCCCTTTTGGGTGTTTTCCTCCCAAGAAATCACCTCCAGGGGGACAGATCTAACTCCAATCAGAGACTGTAAAGGCAGGTGTAGAAACTAAACAGAATTAGTAGAATTAGTTTAAGTCCTTTCATTTTACAAAGGGGTTCATTTGTTTTAAAGACTTCTGGGGTGAAGTTGTGTTAGTGCCCATGAGTAAAAGTGCTGTGAGAGCCCAGGCTGTTTGCCCAGCTCTGTCCTCACTCCTTTCCCCTCCTGGTCCCCTCAGAGTGCAGGGTGACCCCCCTGACTGCAGCCCAGCCTGGGCCTTGTGTCCCACCCCTCTGTACCATTTAACTGGTGCTGGGATGGTGACACTTTAACAGCAGCAGAGCCAAAGGCACGAGAGAGGGGCTGGGCTGTGGGGAAGGACTTCCCAAACACACAGCACATCCCAGAGCTGGGCTGCTGCTCCCACAGGGAAACACAGGCCAGCAAAACCACCTCAGCTCTGGGCAGAGGAGGAGCTGAGCTGCCTGTGAGTGTCTGACCAACACACAGCAGGGATTGGGCTCCTTGCACCCAGCACAGCTGCTCAGGTTTACCAGAGCTCCAAGGCCCAGCAGCATCAGCCACAGCTGAGTCAGTGCCCACCTGAACCACCTCAGCCCCCAGGGCTGCCCAGGCTGCTTGTGCAGAGCCAGGGGCTCACAAGAAACACCTGACTGGGACTCCTGGGGGAACCTCCAGTGGCACATGGCTCAGACACGGTGGGGAGAGGGTGCAGGGTCCCTGGGAGCCACCTGGGCACTAAGAGAAATATTCCGAGGAGTTCATCACTGGGGAAGGAGATTTTAGTCCGATTTTTTAACAGGGTGTTGCCACTGCAGGGTCCTGCCAGACTTGCTCTGCTGAAGCTCTTCACCAAGTTCCTATTTGCAAAAAGTTTGAGATTAATGAATCCAGGGCTCAGGGGAGGGGGACAGTGGGTGGCTCCTGCACGCAGCCCAACCCCAGAGTGTTTGGCAGCTCAGAGTGACAGTGCTGAGCACCCATGAGTGCAGGAAGAGCCCCCTGCTGCCAGCCCCCATCCAGCTGCAGGACAGGAGCTGGGAAGTCCCTGCTCATTCCCAAGGTACCAAGGGCTCAGAGCACGGGAAGAGGCCATGCCCAGAGGAGAGGGCTCAGCAGCCACATCTTCATCCCAGCCAGTCCAGGTCATCGTCATCGTCGTCACCGAAGAGCGGCGCGGGAGGGGGACGCCCCTTCATGCTCTGCAAGCCACACCAGAGGGAAACTGGTCAGCCCCAGCAGCTTCCTGGCATTTCATAACCACTGAGCAAACTGCTCTGAAATCTCTGCCAGCTTTGAGGAACTGGGAGCAAGAAGCCTCATTACCCAAGTTTTTATTTCTCATGTGGAAGTTTGCTGTTGAGATTAGGTTTAGATTAGACAGCAGGAAAAATTTCTTGATGGAAAGGAATGTAAAGCATTGGCACAGGCTGCTCAGGGCAGCGTGGAGTTACCATCCCTGGAGTGTTCAAAAAGTGGATGGATGTGGTACTTGAGGACATGGTTCAATGGTGAATGATGCTACATGGATGGCTGATGATCTTAAAGGTCTTTTGCAACCCTAAGGATTCTGTGGTTTTGTGATTCCAGGAGCTGCTTACAGCCTAAAAGGGTTTGGAGGGGGGGCAAACACTAAAACACTTCAATTAACCTGGCAACTCCCACTGATTTCATGCCAGCAGGAGTCTGTCACTACTCCCTCAGTGAAGCCAGCCCCTCCCAGCTCAGTCACTGACCCCAAACACTCCTGATTTACACAGGGAATGGATGGGGAGCTCTGAGCTCAGCCAGGGCCCCACTGCCACAGGGAGGATGTTACAGACATGCCTCAATCAGATCAAACACCCAAATACATACCACTTCCTCCTCATCCTCCTCTTCAGAGGGAACTTGAGGCTTCAGTGGTTTAGGAGATGCTGTTTCAAAGAAGTTGTCATCCTCAAAGAGGCTGCAAAGAGATAAAGAATGAGCAGCTGGCTCTCAGAGGATGGGATTTGCTTTTACAAGTTCTGAGAGATGGCAAAGCTTTTTTGCCAAGGGAAACCTTTGTGGCAGGTACTGTTCAGCAGTTCAGGGCAATTCTGGGACCAGGCAGGCACCAGGAACTGCACACTCCCCTGGGAATGGTCTCCACTGCCTCCAGCAGACACAATGCTGCTCTGGGGCTGCTCCCAGTGGAATGTGCCCTCCTGGGCAGCCTGGTCTGTGCCAGCTCCTGGCTGGTGCCACCCAGTGCCAGCACCATGAGGGGCTGCAGCCCCAGCCGGTCCTGTCCTGCAGCAGGGACACACCTGGACCAGCTGCTGTCCCAGCCCCAGCACCACCCCTCACCTGGAATCTGTGTTCCTGGGGCTGGAGCCCAGTTCCTGTGATCCTGGAGCTTCTCTCAGGACAGCTGAGCCTGGCTCTGCTCTGCTGGACACTGAAGCACGTTCCTGCTCGGAGCCAGCTCCATCCCATGGCTCTGTGCCACTCCCCTCCTCCCCATTTAAGGGAGGAGGCTCTAAACCTCCCCCAGCCTCCTCTGCCTTCTGCTCCACAGCTGGCTGTGCTGGCAGTGCTGCCTCATCCACCTCTCCTGCCTTGGCTCCTGGGACAGAAGGCTCTGCAGCTGCTGCCTGCAAGGACACTGCAGAGGGATCCTGTTCTGGGTCAGCCTGCCCGATGGGAACACCCTCCAGCCTCTGCTCCAGCCCAGGAACAGGCTGTCCTGCAAGCACAGGCCCCTTCTCAGCATCCAGGCTGCAATCAGCTGCAGGAGGGAGATGCTCCTCCTGAACCTTCTCTTCTTCTGTGCTCTGTGTCTCCTGCTCCTCCTCAGGAGCTCTGGGCCCAGCAGGGTGAGGAGCAGCCTGGCCTTGCTGCTCAGGCTGCAGGCAGCCTCTGGTTTCTTCCCCAGGATCAGCTGGGGGTGCAGTGCTCTGTGCTGGGCTGTGCTGCAGGGGCTCTCTGTGCTCAGTCTTTGCTCCAGGTGATCCCTCCTGTCTCGCTGCTCCTGTGTCAGATTCCTCATTTTCACTGGCATGCTCTGGCTTCTCCTGCTGCCTGTTGAGCAGCTGCAGTGTCACAGTCTGGAAAAGGGAGAGAACACACACCCTAAATACAACCCATCAC